CAAAGTTGCCTCCACTGACCACTGGTCAAGACCTCAAGGGTGATGCAGTAGGCCAGGAGCGCCCATCCTGTCATCCATCTCAGGCAGAGGCAGCCTGGCTCGGCTGGGACTGGCCACGGACGACGGGCATTGAAACCGGCCAATTCAAAGTTTTGAAGTGACGGTGCTAGATAAATAAATTACAGAATTTATCGGTAATTTACGAGACGAATTTATTAAACATAATTAATTTGTTATTACCACATGTGTTACTGTAGCATCACATTGTCAAATCATGGACTAATTAGACTTAAAAAATTCGTCTCGCAAATTAATCACAAACTGTATAATTAGTTATTTTTTAATCTATATTTAATACTCTATGTATTTATCAAATATTTGATGGAATAGGAAGTAAACTTAAGAGGAAGCGGCTCACTCGCTCGCCCGTCGCCTACTCGCCTGGATCTGCCGTCCGTCAGCCGGGCACGTCACGTACGACCGGCGCAACCGGAGGTGTTCCCGGCCCGCTTTCTCCTCGGCAGGGCCCCTGCCGCTGCCTTGCCCTGTCCTGGAACGGACGGATCGCATCGCACCTGGCACCTGCCTCGCCGCGGCCCACGGCGCACGCCCGTTTAAGGCTTTATTAAGCCCGTGCCGGTCGCCTGCCGGCAGCCGGGCGCGCGTCGCTTAACCGCGCCGGGTTGGCATTGGCACCACCACTCGTGAGTCGCTGCTGGCCGCACCTCGTTTTGCAGCAAACCGCTCCTCGGCTCGAGGACGCACACGGCACACCGGCTAGATTCTTGTCGCCGCAGCCAGCAGATGCCTCGCCACCGCCCGCCCACGCCCTGGCAGGAGGCACCCGAGAGAAGAAGGCCGTCGCGGCCTCGAGGGAGAGCGAGCAGGGTGTGGCAGGCCTGCCTGTAGCTGTAGGGACTAGAGACGGACAGTGCGGTCTATCCATCCAGCCGCGTACGACCGAGCGTGCGGGTGAACCGAAGACTCCGTCGATGGAACCAGCAGGTGAGGTCCCTTTCTCCTTTTGGCCGTCAAGGCTGGCTGTCAAAAAGGGGCGGAGGGCGGAGGCACGGTCGCGTCGCCGGCCCGTCGATCAACCTCGATCCCGGTCCCGGCACCAACCAACTTTGACCGCAGGTCGTCGTTTAATCGATCGTGCCCGCGCCGCGATGGCTCGAACTCGAACCGAAATGCTCGATCCTGACCTGGCCTTGCCGGACGCCGGTCCGGTCCGGTCCTCGGTCACCGTTTCAAAGCTCGCCGAGAAAAGTAACACCGTTCCCTGTCCACCTCACGCGCATACAGCAGGCTTTCAAAGGAGAATCCATGCCACGTTTGCAGTTTGGACGGCACGGTTCCACTTCCACAGTTCGTGTCACGCAGGGCCATGGCAGGTACATTGGTGACACGGCGATTTCCACGCATCCAGGCTATCTACCTTGAGTCTCTCACTGTGCTAGGAGTGTGCGTGTGTTCCTTCTTTTTCTTTTAAGTTCCACAGAGATATGTCCACGTTATACACTTTTGGAAAGTGGCAAGCTTGTTTGAGCCATTGGGGATAAAAAGCGAGGTGGCCACAGGCCACCACACCACTCCATTCGTCCAGCAAGGAAAGCGTGCAAAGAATGGGGGGCAAAATTGAGAGTTTGAGACATTTACAGCTGCACAGTAGATTTGGGGGTCCACTGGATCAGCATTCTGCATTCAGCACCCTGTGCTAGCGCGATTTCTAGTGCAAAAACGAATATATTTTAGGCTGTGTTTAGTTGGCGAAATAAAAAATTTTGGAGGTCACATCGGATGTTTTGAGATGTCGGAAGGGGTTTTCGAATACTAATAAAAAAAAACTAATTACATAGCTCGCCTGAAAACTACGAGACGAATTTATTAAGCCTAATTAATCCATCATTAGCGCATGTAGTTACTGTAGCACTTATGGCTAATCATGGACTAATTAGTCTTAAAATATTCGTCTCGCGATTTCCAACCAAATTGTGCAATTAGTTTTTTTCCGTCTATATTTAATACTCCGCATGTGCCGCAAGATTCGATGTGATAGTTGGGGTGAAAATTTTTGGGAACTAAACTAGGCCTTAGGCTGTGTTTAGTTCACGAAATTTGAGAATTTGGCTACTGTAGCATTTTCGTTTTTATTTGGCAATTAGTGTTGAATCATGGACTAATTAGGCTCAAAATGTTCCGTCTCGCGATTTCCAACCAAACTGTGCAATTAGTTTTTTTTCGTCTATATTTAATGCTCTATACATACATCGCAAGATTCGATATGATAGCTACTGTAATACTTTTTGAGAAACTTTTTGAACTAAACACAGCCTTACCGGGCAGAATGGCGCACAAAAATAGCAAAACAGTTAGCCACGCTCGTATCCTCGTATAAGCCAATTTTGGACATGGACACCTCGTGTGCTAGAAAGTTGCTGGAGCACGGGGCGTCGTGCTAGCTGTAAGCGTGTAGCATGCATCTAGCAGTACGTACCCCTTTTGTCCATAAAAAAAATGTAATTATAAGATCCGTGCCAATCATACTAGCTCAACTTTGATCAAGGTTATAGTAAATAATATTAATATTTATATCTCTAAATAAATTTATTATTAAAATATATTCTATAACTAATCTAATGATACGTATTTTGTATCATAAATGTTAGCACTTTTTATATAAATTTAATCAAAGTTCAAACGATTTCATTTCTCGAAATGCGAGAATTGAGTTCTTTTCTGGACGGAGGGATTACTACTTGAGTTTCCTTCCTATTTTTGGCAGGCTGTAAAGATCTACTACTTTTTTTTTTGAAACTGTAACGACCTACTACCACTGCTATGACTGAAAGTGGTAATACTCCCTCCGTCCCAAAATAAGTGATATTTTAGATTTGTTCTAAGTTAAACTATTTCAAGTTTGACCAAATTTATACAAAAAGTATTAATGTGTAGGATACCAAACAAGTATTATTAGATTTATCATGAGATGTATTTTTGTATTCAACTTATTCGGTATCATAAATATTGATATTCTTTCCTATAAATTTGGTCAAACTTGAAATGGTTTGACTTAGGATAAACCTAAAACATCACATATTTTGGGACCGAGGGAGTAATATAGATTGAAACACTAATTTCTATATCTGAATCTAAAATTAATATATATTGAAACACTAATTTCTATATCTAAAATTCTCTTCGTCAGTGGCAAATCCAGCCAAAAACATTGTTGGGTCAACTTCATTATGTGATATAAATTTTCATAAGTTTGAACAGTAATTTAAAAAAGGATCTTACAAATTTTGTCGGGGTCGGTGGACCTCGATTCCCCTCCCCCCTAATGGATTCACCCCTGCTTTTCGTTCTCTTCTCGGTTCACCCATTCCTCTACTCCTAAGTATAAGAGTCGGCTGATTTTATTACGAGTAGTGCTATGTGGTGAATTAGATATAAGAGTCCGTCTTGGTTTCCCTTTTCTAATCCAAAACCACGAACTATACTTATATGAGTTAGAATAGTATACGCTCGATCATGGTACAAAGCATTATTTCAATGTGTATTGAAAAAGATCAAGTTGTATATTCCATGGCAAAGCAAAGACATGTTTTGTAGTCATATACATAGAAAAAAGCTCTCTGTAAAACATAGGCACACCACACACTAAACAACTTTGGTAAATACTATGAGCATGTTTGGTATAACTTACAAGCTATTTATGCTAAAAATAAGCTAAAACTAGTAGCCAAATGATGTGCTTTCCCATAACTTCTTCTCCTTGCGCTTTCATTTGTACTAAAATGTATAAACTGAATCAGATCTGCTTCTCTTAACCTTGCTTTTCCTCCATTTGTGCGGCTTCTCCAAACGGTGCCTATGAACTATGGGATAGATTATTAGCACACTCTGATGCAGTATAAAGATTATTTATGTTCCATCTTATTGTGTTTCTTATCTTTGAGCTTAAGTTTTGTTATATCTTGCTGCCTTTTTCTAAGAAAAAAATACAACTCTTGTTTTTTCTTAGTTAAACTATTCTAAGTTTGACCAAATTTGTGAAATAATATCTATATTTATGAACGTAATAAAGTATATTATGGAAATATATTATATAATAAAATTAATAGCACTTATTTAATATCATAAATATTTATAGTTTTTATATAAATTTGGTCAAATTTGAGATAGTTGACTTAAAACTATGTTAGAGTTGTATCATTGTACAAAATCACCACTCACCAGCCTAGTAGTGTATAGGTAAATAACCGCTAATGTTTTAGATTCACTATGAAAATGCGCTTTTATAATCTACGTTCGAAATTATAAGTCGCTTTAACTTTTTTAGTACATCGATTTTGCTATGTATCTAGACATATTGTTATATCTAGATACATAGCAAAGTGAATGTATAAAAAAAAGTTAAAGTGACTTATAATTTAGAACAGAGGGAGTAGTTCATATGTTGTGAAATTACATGAAATTTTCAAAATTGATAGTTAAACATGGAAATGTCTGATTTAGAATGAAGTTAATACCAAATGTAAAAAGGGAAAGAAGTATCAGCCAAATCGTTCATGCTCAGTGCTTGCCGGCTGTCACCTCCAATCCAGCGGAACCGATTCCTATTATCTAACGTGAATGTCCATTTCCTTTTCCTCAATCCCTACGGAAATCGACAAAATTCGTATGAGGACGTCGGCCGGTAACAAAAGTCCAAATGGAGACGCGCCTACTAATATTTTGCCGAGGCGAACCATGCCGCGGCAAGCCGGCAAACCCAGCCCACCACTTGGGGAACGCAACACCCCCCTGTGCAGCTGTGCTTCACTTCACCGCGCCCCACACGGCGACGACGCATTGGATTCGCACTGCAACACAGGCACACAGCGCTCGCATCATTCCAATCGACTATCTCAGACGCGGTGGCGTCTCGCTCTCGTCTCGCCTCGTAGCATCCGACGCGCCAGCCACGCCGGCACCGCGGCGGCCGCGCGCCCGCGATGCCCAGCCCGATCGCCGCCTGCTTCCGCTGCGCCGCGGCGCCGTCCTCGGGCGCGGGCGCGGCGGGGCCCAGCCTGGCGACCTCCGTCTACGAGACCCACCTCGGCCTCGTCGCGCTCTCCTGGTCCCGCACCTCGCTCGGCCTCTCCCTCCGCGCCGTGCTCCGCCTGTCGCCCCCGCCCACGCCCGGCAACTCCTCCTCGGCGTCCGGAGCGGGCTACCTCGACGACGACGCGGACGAGGAGGAGACCCTCGCCTTCCGCGTCCGCCCGTGGCTCCTCTGGCGCCGGCGCGGGTCCAGGCGGTTCCGCGCCGGCGACCGCCTCGTCGACCTGGCGTGGGACCTCTCGCGCGCGCGCTTCCCGGGCTCCGGGTCCCCCGAGCCCTCCTCGGGCTTCTTCGTCGCCATCGTCGTCGACGGCGAGATGGTCCTCGCGGCCGGGGACCTGCCCGATGCGGCCTACCGGAGGACCCGGGCCCGGCGCCCATCCGGCCCGCGCCCGGTCCTCCTCTCCCGGCGGGAGCACGTCTCGCTGCGCGACGCGGGCGCCGGCCGAGGCCGCAGCCACACCACCTGGGTGACCGTCCAGGGCAAGGAGCGGGAGATCTCCATGGATCTCGTGGCCCGCGGCCGTGGCAGGGACAGGGCCGCCGCCGCCGGCAGGGAGAAGGAGAAGGACCGGGCTGATGTCGGCATGTCGGTCTCCGTCGACGGCGAGCGAGTGCTCCACGTCCGGCGCCTGCGCTGGAAGTTCCGCGGCAGCGAGCGGGTCGACCTCGGGGGCGGCGACGGCGTCCAGGTCTCCTGGGACCTCCACAACTGGCTCTTCCCCCCGCGCGAGCCGCCCCCCGCGGACGCCTCGACGCACGCCCACGCCCACGCCCACGCCCACGCCCACGCCCACGCTGTGCTCGTCTTCCGGTTCGATCTCGCCAGCGGCGGCGGCGAGGAGCGCGAGGCGGATTTGGGGAAGGATCCCTCCCCCGACAAGGCCGCGACTGCGAGGAGGAGCACGGGCGTCTGGGGAGGAGGCTACCTCGCGCGGTGGGGGCAACGGGACTGGAGCGAGACGGGCATCAACGGCGAGAGGAGGAAGGGCAGGGGGCGGAGGCTGGCCAAGGAGAGCTCGTCGTCGTCGGCGTCCGTGGCATCCTCGACGGCGTCGTGGGCCAGTGGCTCCACGGTGATGGACTGGGCCAGCCCCGAGGAGGCCGAGATGCAGCGCGGCAACGGCTTCTCGCTGCTGATCTACGCCTGGAAGATCTAACACCGGCGACTGCGGCATAGTTCCGATTCCGATCCATTGGCGGTGATGGTAAATTTTCTCTGGATTGTTGTAGGTTGCAGTGTTCTTGTGCAGTTAGAGCCTTTGAGGGGTTGAATTGAGCTTGATTACAGTAGCAGGGCATTGCTAAGTGTAATAAGCAATTAGTGTCGATTTTTTTCTTCATTACTAGACCAGAACAATGGCCCTGGTCGCTTGCCTTATGAGCCGTACTATTTTAGCGAAATTACGATGTTTTTCTTTCGCAACAAATCAGCGAGCTTTTCAGCAAAGCAAACGGTGCCAATTTTCCTCCCTGGATTAGCATTAATGAATGAAATGAACCCAACAGCAATATTTGCCTAGCATCTAGGGCAATGGCTCAGGATATTTTGAGAAACTTGGAATCAGTCCACCGTAGCGATCAGCCGATCAACGTCGACCACTTCAGTATCTTGTTCTGCGTATCTCTTGTGTCACCTGCTCAAAAGCGAATCTATCCGTCAATCAATTAGCTGTTGCTGCAGTGGTCGTTCTACTAATTGTATAGACATTAATCATAGGTGTTAGATCCTGAAGACCGGTGGTTACGATCGTGACGTTCACATTCACAGGAACACGCTCTTCAGTTCAGTTGATCAATGGTTTTTTTTGGTTGCTGAGTGCCACTCAAAACAATGTGCAGTTCGGAAATTCGGATGGCAGGGCTTGCAACCTGGACGATTGCTCACTAGTTTTACGGACTCCGTCCTTTTAAGTGAACGACAGAGCTACCAGTGAGGCTTGTTCGGCTTACCCTATATTCAGTTTGTTTGGTTTGTTTTTTTTAGCCGAAACAGTGTTTTTCTCTCACAATAATTCAGCCAGAACAATATTTTCTAGCCAGTTTCAGCCAAGATTCAACGAGCCGAACGGGGGAATACAATGTAGAAAAAAACATTGTTTAGTCAGAATTCCCTACCCCCACTCAATTTCACTTCAGTTTTGACAGCAACTGGGTGCGACCAATTCTGGTCATGCCCCATTGGTTCACCGAGCGATCAAAGACGCGTCTACCTTGCCATGGCATCTTGTTTTGCAGGAATAAATACGATGCCGGATGCCCAGTAACGCCGGAATGATTGACTCAAGTTATTACTGAACCACTATGTTTAGTGCCTAGTCTACCGACTTGCAGTACGTATAGAACAACATTACCATCAAAGTCACTTGATGACTTGAATAACTTCATGAAGCATCAGCCTGCTGCCATTGCTATTCTCGCCCCCTCCAGCTTCGCCGAAAATGCAGCCGCAGCCACGCGACTCGCCCTTTGCGTCTCGCGCCCTAGCGCCGCCGCTCCGCTGGTCCCCCTCCATTCTGCCCCCGGCATCTCGCCGGAGGCCTAAGAGAGTGGGAAATCCATCATTTTTTTAAAAGTTTTTCACTAGATCGAGTCATTTAGGGCTAGAGTCTCTCCGTGTTAAGGGTTTTTTTTGTACTGGGATTTATCTCCTCCTCCTCCTCGGCGACGGCGAGGGGACAGGGCGGATTCGTTTTCTCCATAGCGGCTTTGTTGAAGATGAGGGCGACAACGGCGTCAGCAACTTCCTCAGCTTGACGACATGGAGACTTGGCTTTCCGGACAGCAACATCAAGGCGGAGACGATGTCGCCGCCATGGAATATTTTTTTCCATTCTCTTCTCGGTTTTGTTGTGGTTAGATCTGACCACGATGAAGGACTAGGGAAAATAAGTTTGAGATCGGTCTTCTTTTTTCTTCGGTGGCAGAAAGAAGAAGAAGAAGGAAGACAAGAAAGAAGTTTCTCCACTTCGCCTGCATGAATGTTTAACGTCGTTCGTTGGGCATCTGTTCTCAGGCCTTTTGCCAAGTGTTTGTCTGTGCGGTCATCCATACGAATCGTCATACAAGTTTGGAGTTGAGATTTGGGGCTATACAAACCGTGGGTACAATTTAGATGATTAGTTTCTGGATATACGTAGGGTATTTTAGTGTACTTATAATGTGATAATATACTCAGCTATAATCTAATATAATTCTTCTTTCGTCTTAAAAAAAAAAAAAAGCTTAGCCAAAAATGCAGCTAGAGCTACGGAATACAACAGTACTTGCATCATTCGGGACTTGCTCTGATTGGAAAGGCTGAAATGGCTCTGATGGGAAAGGTGCAGGTCCGGTTTGCTCGGGTTCCGAACGAACTTCGTCGCGACGTGCTATCCAGCTTGTCGCTAGCTTCTGATTTCCGTCCGAGGATGCGAAGCGACAGCGACTCAGCGAATGCTGACCGGCTGGCTGACACAGTGCTTGCCTTGGCCCTTGGGCGTCCGGGAGGTGAGGCACAGTCCCTAGCTAGCTCCAGGCGGACCGCGGCCGGCTTCGCGTGCCCCGCCCGTGCTGGTGGCGTTGCGTCTGCGGGGAGAGGCGGGCACGGCGAGCGACCGAGGACCGAAACCGGAAGGGTCGCGGCGCCGTCTTTTTCGTCGCGCTTCGCTGGAGCCGTTGAGCGGCTGGGGCCGGCGGTTTCCGCTCTCGCGTCATCTGCAGAGAGGGGAACGGGACGGACCAATCAGCCACGCGACGCCGCGACGGGATCACGAGAGGGGAGACGGCTCCCAGGCAGCTGGCTGGCTAGCGTGCCTCGGCACGTAACGAGATAACGCTACTTGTGGAGGAGTACGTATGGTTGTGGGCCCGTGGCTGTAGGCGGGCGGGCGGGGCGCCGGATCCCAGGCCCGGGGGCGGCGGCCTCGCGCTCGCGTTTTGCGCCGGTGGCGGGCGTGACCGCGTGACGGTGTGAGTGGCGCGGGACTGTACCAAGCGTACGTGTGACGTGTTGCTTGCAGAGAACAGATTTGTCCTTGTTTCCTTAAAGCGCCGGCGACGTTGCTGCTGTTTTCTCACGGTATTCTACGTGTTCGCTGGTTAGTTTCTGAGCTGGATTGGGTTAGCCGGTGCTAGTTCGTTATGAGAGAAAAACACTATTGACTAATTGAATAAGTCTGGTTGAAACCAACAAGCGAACATGGTGATTATTATTATCCAAAATTCTGTGCGATGTTCTTGTGCAGTTAGTGGCCTTTGTGGTTGTGGGGTTGACATGGGCGTCGGGGTTAAGCTAGCGATTTCTAAATTTCATTGTACAGGCTAAACAGTTTGAAGCAAGTCCACCCAAATGGTCAACATGAAGCACTCCAGTCACTGACATCTTCTCTCTCTCATTTGTACCCACTCACTCAAAGCGAATCTGTCTGCTCATCAGTTAGCTGTTGCAGCAGTCTGCCGAAAGTCTAAACTCCTATCATGGGTGTTTATGTTCAGATCGTGAAAACACGTTGTTAAGATCGTGATGCACTACTCATTCACTTAATGTTCTGCAGTTCAGTTTGTGATTGGTGGTTCCTAACCACTTAGGGTGTGATTGGTTGCTTGGGTGAGGGGGAGTCGGGATGAAGAGCCGGTCCATGATGGTGAGATGCATGCTTAAACCGTGCACTCAGTCATGTTTGGTTGTCTTTGTTGTTGGTCCAGTATAAGATGATATCTTGTTTGGTTGCATGCATGGATGTGAGTTTTGAGTGTATGACACATAGGTCCTGGGCCATGCGTCGCACCACACCATCTCGGCTCGCATGGGAAGCCCGATTTCTGCGTACACTGCGAGCCTACACCAGGAGCCTCACATGCATGGTCCGGTCCATCGATTTCGTTCGGCACAGAAAACCAAACACAAGGATAGTGCATGACATGGTGTCAGATGACGCTTTGGACGGCTCCATCAGGGCTACCAATCACGCCCTTAATGTTCTGCCTTTTTCTTTTGCCTCTAGGGGCTTGTAACTCTTCTCTATCTTCTACAACTAAAAAAACAAAGTGTAGATATTTTTTGGTACGACATTCTAACGTGGGTCCATCGTCTTGCCGGTTGCGTTCCCGCATCCTCGCTCCTATGCGTGTGCTGTGCGAAAAAAAATTCCGCATCCCCCTCACCCCCGATGCCTCCCACCCCGCGCTCGACTCTCCTACTCCCCCGACGCCTCCCCTCCCACGCGTGCGACTCCTCCTCCATCTCTCCCCCACAGACGAGGCACCAGCCCACCAGGCGAGAGCGCACGGCACGGCGGCCACCCTCATTCTCCTCCACGCCCCTTCCTCTTCGCGTCGCAAGGGCGGGCGACGGCGGCCCTCCTCGGGTGCTGCGCCGGTGCAGCGGTTCGCCGTCCCCGGCCACGACGAGCCCCCACGGCGGCGGTCCCCGGGCACGACGCTGCCGCGCGGTCCCCACCGGTGCTCCCCAGCGCGTCTCCCCTCTGATGCGGCATCGTCTCGCCAGGCGCCACGTCTTCTTCTGTGCTCCATGAAACCCTAGGTGCCTGTCTCTCTCTCTCTCTCTCTCTCTCTCTCCCTCTCCCTCTCCCTGCAGTGATTTTGGCTGATAGTTTCATTGAGTTACTGTTCGAATCCATCAATTGCATGCTATTATGATCATCTGCAATTTAGACCCTATTCTAAGTTATAGGCAACACTGAATTTCTGTTAGTAAATACCAACCATGTACCAATTAGCACTGATTGTGTGTTTGCTTCATTGATTTGTGATATTGAGATGGCTGATGTAGGACGATAGTTGAGGTGTTAATGGATCCAGAGATCAGGCTCTACACGAAATCACATTTACAAGGAATTACAATATGTTAATCGGCTTGCTCAAACGAGTTACAAATTACACGTCATGTGCTGCGGCTTGCTTCCTTACTATGAAAAGTAAAACATGAAGTGTTCGTAGCATTCTTAATTTCTTGCTCCACAAACCTGGTGTTACTACTTCACTCTCTATTTATTGTGCCTTCAATTGAGCGCTTATGGTACTGATTCTAAAATTTCCAACCAACTTTCAGCTTGTATGTCTCTAAAACATTGTTTTATTAATTGCCAACTGTTGCCATAGCTGCAAACACTGACATTTTTTACATCCATAGTAGTTCAAATGATTTCTCCAGAAGCCT